CTTAAACTGCTGTTGCAATGTTTTAATAAACGCAGATGATACATTTTTTGCTACTATACTGTAATCTTTAGTAGAATGGTGAAGCTTGGTTAACTCAGACTCCTCCATGTCCCTGTCAAACGCATCAGTTACAGCATGGATCAAGTATTCCGGAGTCTTCTCCACTGACGTGAGATGGCCAAGACATGATGTTATCTCTTTTACCTGGTTGAAAAGAGTGATAAAGAAATATTGTTAAAAAAATTTTTTTTTATAACAATACACATCTACACTAGTACCCTAATAAACCTGTAAAATAAGCAAATCATATGAAAACACTAGGACAGAGGGAAAGATTGCTGAATCAAGACAAAAAACTGAAGCAAGACAAACAAATTGTATCATCCAACTAGCCCCCAGCGAGGGGCCGACAAAAAAAATTAACCACAAGCAAATTCTTACTGCTTCGAAGTGTCCTCTTCCATCCTCCTTTGAGTAAAATATCTGCATCCATGGTCCTGTGAGGAAGCGGGAGTACATGCCCATTACTTGCAAGTGTAGAAGGACACTCGGATCAGTCAGGCCTTCATAAATTTTTGCGCACACAAACTTTCCCAGCCTGCATTTTACAAACTCTGTCAGCTGGACTCGATGCAGGTATATCACCGCTGCCATACTGAACATGACATTCAAACGGTTCCCAACATAGCGTTTGAAGATACCGGGATTGATATTCTTCGTCTTCAAAAAGGCTGTGAATGCAGCTGGATCACCAGACCCATCTTTGTACCTGGGAAAAAAAATTAAAAACGTCTTGTTGTGTGCATGATTATGTGATTTACTGCAGGCATTAAAATGAAAATTACATTATTTTTAGTATGATTTCCAGATTATCACTACGCTCCATATATGATGATATATCTACCTGTTGTCAAACTGCCAAATACATGTATGTTGAATAATCTGCCACAGACATGAAAAAAATGATATAAAATAGATGTCATGAGACAGGACTTGCTACACAATGATAAAAACTGACTAAACATTACCTCAGTTTGGATACTTGATGAATCAGTGTTGCGGCCCGGCAGCCCAAGGAGGATTTCTGACCATCTTGGTCTGTCTTAGTATCCAGCTTACGCAGAGCTTCACGAGCTGATCTGGCAAGGCCGTCTAATGGGTGCACCATACATTTTAAATCGGCCACGTCTCCGTCTCCACAGTCCTCTTTGAGTCGTTCAGATACTCGGTGGTTTGCAGCAGCTCTGTCGCTCATGGTGCTGTGCAGTTTGCTTTTCACTTCTTCCAGGATGGCTGTTGCGGGTAACTGGAAGGCGGCACAGTAGATCTCGCAGACATCAGATAAGGCTTCCATTGCATGCTGGTACAGCTCCTCTGCTGATGAACCTGAAATGGGTCTAATATTGAGAGTTAATGATTGCCTACCTAGTATTGTTTTGAGGGACACATGAACTTCGTTATAATGTATACCTGCCTTTGTTGTGGAATCCCAGGCTAATGTGATGAGATCGCACTCGTGCAGCATCTGGCCAGCTTGAATGCTAGCAAGCACCCCGAGTTCGTAAGCCATCTGTGCTATTGTAGTCACACATGGAATCTGAGAAAAAACTTTACCAAAAATTATCCCTGCAACAGAAGACAACAAACGAGAAATATTCCCAACACTAACATTACACATTAAAAAGTCATAAACACACTGCCTAAATCTATAATCATACTTCCCTGCCTCTTTTGTTGTAACAATGTTGTCACTGTCTTCACTGTCTTCCTTAGAATCTGCCTGTTCCACTGCTTCGTTTTCCCAGTATTTACTTCGATCTGTCTCCTCTTGCAGTCTGGTTTTTACATAGTCTAATTCACTGCTAATCTTCTTTTGGATTTCACAAAACTGTTCTTTCGATTGCTTGTTCCTCTTTTCCAAATCAGTGATTTTTTTCTCAGATTGCTTCAGTTTGCTTTCTAATATTCCTTTGGCAATTGTCAGTTCCTTTATTTCTTCCTCGTGTTTTGCTTTAATTGACATTTCCTTTTTCCTGTGCCGCATTTCCTGTTCTTGGAACTGTTTGTTCAAATTTGAATGTTTGACTCTCCAAAGTTCAGCTGATGCCGATTTCCTCTTTATTGTCAAATTCAATGTTTTCAGTGACATCTGTTTTCTTTTTCCTCTCTATGTCGAATTCTAAGTGCTCTTATCTGCAAACGCAAGTGCCTGTTCTCCTTCAGCATGTTCAGACTTGTCCGTTGCTTAGCTACACAGTTGTCACAGTCTTTTTTTAAACGCTTTGGTGATGGTGACCTGGAGATCAGTGAAACAGAAAATGAAACATTATGATTATGAATGGAGTTAAAGGGTAACTCGTCAATCCATGGTGTTGCAGAAGTGTGTTGCGCATGATCAGTTGTATGGTCAGCTGGTGTCACAGGTGTGAGTGGTGGGGATGAATGATCAGTTGGCTGAATTAGTGGTGGGGATGAATGATCAGTTTGTATGAGTGGTGCACATGTATGGTCAGGCTGCACAACTGATGTAGATGTTGCAGAAGAAGAACTTAATGATTCTCCAGACAAAAAGGATACAAAAAATGGCTGCTGGTTAAAACTGATGAGATCAGCCCACTGCTTGGTGTAATTCATTTTTTTTGGCAGCATTTCTTTTAATATCATTTATACACGCCTTCACTCTCCCCTCATGTATCTGCTTGTCTGGTTCAGCTACCTGCACCATGCCCTTGATCATCCTGCAAATATCTACAGTTGTCAATTTCTCATTTACAATCAGTCGGGCTATATAGCCTTTCTTAACTGGGTACTCTGGCTCAAAGGATGACAGATATGCTCTCATATCAGAAGCTGTTTTATTTTCCATGGTGAGCTGTGTAAGAAAGTAATATTTATATAAGCATATTATATGCGTATGCAACATCATATGGGAAAAGGGGAGGGGGGTGGTGTAATATTGTAATAGTAATTACATTGTTTTTACATCTATTAACTGTATGTGTCACATAGTGTGTAGTATATTTTATATATATAATTAAATATATGTATTGTATGTATGTATTATTGTACTATATACTATATATATATATATATATATATATATATATATATATATATATATATATATTATATATATATAATTTATAATAATAAATTCATTAAATTATAATAATTATATCATGTATCATTTAAAATATTTATTTAAAAAAAATTTCAAATTTAATAATTAAATACTATAACATAACTATAAAAATATTGATAATGCATTATCTGTATTAAGAATAAATATAACTTCTTAAAATAAATACCACATAAAAGACAGCTGTTGTTATGGTAACTGCAGTAACGCCTTCCACAAAAGTAACAAAATGGCCTTTTCCTTTTTCGCCTCAGATAGTCTGATTTAATTAAAAACCATTTCTGTATATCTCCCCTATCACGTCGTTGGGTGTAAACTGACTAAATAGACTTAATTATGGATGATAAAAATACATTTCACAGTTTTAATCAGTTTTTTAAGAGCCTACAAAATAACTGTATATTAAATAACTACCGATAATTAAAAACACGCTGAAGGCTTATTCTAAAGCAACAAGATGGACGCCAATTTCTTCACCCACGATGGTTTCAGGATCGCATCTTGAAAATCCCACTGCAAATCACCCCCATAGAATATACTAATAAAATTTTACAAACTAAAGTTAAATTGGACAGAGAATCGAATAATTACAAGAATATTACGTTTAAATGCGTTGAACGCTATCAAATAATGTGGCTACTTACCGCTATATATTCAAACACGATCGGCAGTAGCAAAACACGATCAAATGCTTTCAGACCACGAGGAATGTGAAAGTCAACCAATTTGCTTTGACTTGGGCTATATATAGCTCGTCGGAATCCCCGAGGTTTCCCGAATGTGTATAACGAATCATCATCGTGAAAAAATTCACCGACAACTTACGGACATTGTTATGGGTAGCAACCCAGCCCGTTCCGTTTCCGGAAGTGCCCGATCGATCGAAGAAAACGTAGTACCTACGCTCTCTTTTATTTGATATATAAAGAACATTTTGTTTTAGTACATTAGATTAGTCTTGTTATAATTCGTTTCGTGAACCAAATGTTTATTAACATGGGCTATCCTTGCAATAACGGTCGCTAGTTGGACGGCGGCGGTCGCTTAGTCGGAGTTCAGTCTCCTGGCTGCAGTGCAATTACGGAGAGGAAAAGAGGGAACGACACAAATGACATAATTAGGGTTAGGCTAATGTGAGTCGCAACGCGTAGTCTTGACGCTATGTTAGACTCACTATGTTTTGTGATTCGTGCCTTGTCCACTCTGCACTGGATTTTATTACATATATCTTTGTCTCTCCCTGCAGAGCCACCTGCCGAGAACATCACTCAAAAACACTCAAAGCACCTGCGATGACCCCCTGGGTCTGCATAAAAATTGCACCAGTGAACTGAACAAGACTGCCATAAAATGAATCAACAATGACCTTCAGAGCTTTCCCCCATCCATCCCAGATAATGTGATTGAATACTTAGTTTTGAAAAAAATCAATATTAGTTTGAACAGGACCCAACGGTGTTTGAATCAATTTGTTATTACACATCTGATTTTAGATACCTTTTAGCATTTTTATGCTTGTTAGGGCACATAAAATCCCCCACCCCTCCCCCCCCATCCCCAATTTTTTTCCTTCTAGTGGTAAAACATACTGGCTGAAACCCCCCCCCCCCCTTAATTTTTCTACAAACAGGTAACTAGCTGGGCATGGTCAACATTGATAGGGTTGTTTTCTTGAAAGTATGAGCTGAACCAGGAAGTCTGCATCAGATTTGTAAAAAAGACATGCACACAATCAGGTTCTGGAACAGAGCTAAAATTGGTTTAAAAAAAAAAAGGCAGAACGAAACATTTCTTTGTAATATACATTACATTAGTTAAGCTTAGCCACAATTAATTTGATATTTCTTGTGTGTATCTTCAGAGTACGGTGCATACAGCCAACCGGCTGCAGGCAGCCAGGGGAGGTATGTATATTCATTGTCTCTGTTGTTACTGACTTCGGTTCATTTCTCTTTCACCTCATGTCAGAAGCTTTCAAAGGGGAATTCCCGGGTAGGTCCAGCATAATGTGGGAAGAGGGTGTTATGTTAATCAGTCATTTTTTTCATACTATAACACCCCTAAAGTATTTGACTTTCCCGAGAATTCTTTACAAAATCTTGATGCAATGATGGAGTGAAAACAACCTTGCTAATCTGTTGCAGCTGTATTTTTAGTCTTGTCACTACCACACAGTTGATTTACTTTAGCTTTGTTCCGCTTGTTTTAATCTGTGCCTTGTAATGATGAAACTATGGACTAGAGTCACTGAGTTTTGATCTTTGATGTTTCATGTGTCTTCTGAACTTGGCAGATAATTTGATGGGGGTTAAAAAAAAGGGTTTTGGTTTGGCTTAATAGTGAAACAGCAGGTCTGTATAGAATTATAGTGGGGATTTTTAGTTAGCAAGGGGTCTAAAGTGTTTATAATAAAAGCGATGAACATAGAGGAAGAGAAACATTTTTTACATTTACATTCAGCTCCAGCTTGATGATAAACTGGTATCTTCAATAGTTTAGTTTCTGTGTCAGTGAAAGGCCTGTTTTTTCCACAAGACAGGTCCCATTGGCAAAGAGGTCTTTGCGTGCAGAGGAAGCGAGTAGCCCATTTGTTAATATAATGGAAGTCGGCTATCCTCTGAATAAGTCCCAAAATTATCGAGACCGAAAATTTTCCCTAACAGGGCCTCAGTCACATGTCAATTGTGGACTTAAATTACGCACTTCCTGCGACTTCTGCCACCGTCGAGTATTTCTCACGCCGCTACGTGCGTTGTGGATTAGGGCTAAACTAGGTGGCTGGGGAGATACTCTTGGCAGTGGCGATATAGACCCCGGAAGTCTGCAGTTGACATATGACTGAGGCCCTGTTAGGGTATATTTTCTGCCTCCATAATTTGGGACCGTTATTCGAAGGATAGCCTGGAAGTCTTGGGTCTCTACGGGAATCCCTGATGGTTTCTAGTCTGTTAAGAGTGGAAAAGTTAAGTAGTCAAATGCTTCTTTGGGGGACGATTCTTCCGCCTTTATGGAAGCCTCCTTAGATGGTGGACATTTTTGTCCGGCTCGCTAGCGTAGTTGGTTAAATCTGACTGGTTATCGGGTGACAACTCATTGTGTGGTCTGGGTTCGGGGGGGGGGGGGTGGTAAGGCAGAAAAGCCACATTTCTCCCAGATTTAGGGTACCTATTATGGAATCAAGGCTGAAGGGTTGCGATATACATAGTGCCGAGCTAAAGGGTTAACAACTTATGGTTTCTGGATACTTTAAAAAGAAAAGATGGTGTATATGTTAGTGTGTCCCTGCCTTTCTTGACGGCTGATTAATGCACAGAGCTATTCTAAATCAGTCATCTAGGGACAACACCTGTAAGTCAGTGGATGATCAACCATAGTGAGGTTGATAAATTTCACCCAGTGTCACACTAAACGAACCCATCCTGAAATAATTGTCTGCTGAATGTTGCGGTGTTCTAAACAGGCACAGCTTATTTATGTTCTTTTAAATGAATAATTACGTTAAATAGACAGGCCTTAAACATGCCAACAACTGTATTGCATCTGTAAGGAATTTATATGACCTCTTGATTTATTTCAGTTATAATTATGGAAGCTATGGAGCTGCAGACAGTTCTTACACAGCCCAAAGTTATGGGCAGCCAGCAGCTGGGGTAAGAGTCACATTTGCTGTTGTGCATTTGCATTATCTTTTTCTGTTCAAAGACTCCTTCTCTGAAAAAGATTATCGGTCATTGCTATATTGACATGATGCTTGCATCAACTGATGGTTTGGTGTTCGTTCATCATCTGGAAGAATTGTGACATGTATTGCTTCAATATTATAGACTACAGTTGTTGTAAGGACTCTCTCTCTTCTGTTGACAGGTTGTTTCATGGTTATTACAACCAGGATGCAACCTCTTGGCCTAATAAAGTACAACAATACAGGGCCTGTTACAGGCTTGTTCTTCCCGGTAATCTTTTCACAGCCTAGAAAAGTAGACCTGGCTGATCCTGCGATAGCGTCTGCAGGATCTTGCAAGGATCTTTTTTCCTTCAGTATTTGCCTCGTAATGATGAGACTTTGGACTAGAGTCACTGAGTTCAGATTTGATGTTTCATGTGTCTTCTGAACTTGGCAGATACACCAGAATAAGGTTTAAAAAAACAGGTTTTTGATTTGGATAAAGTATGTCTGTCCAGTAGTGAACTAAATCTTTTGAGCTAAATAATGCCGGAAAGAGCATGTAGAGGTGTTTATTGCCTCAAGAGAAATGTTGCAATGAAAATAAGGGTTTTTTGTTTGTGAAGAGGCATTTGATAGCACTGATAAGGTGAGGTCCTGTGGATACATAAAACACCATTGTGACTCTTGAAACCCACTAGCCATTTAAATCTGGGATATATCTTTGAAGCTGAGGGTTTTCCTTCAAAGCTGTGGTGAAACCTTTATAGCTGGGGTGTATCCTGAAAAAGGCATCGAACCAAGAATCTGCATTTAAATGTCATATCTGGAAAATCTAAAACCAGAAAAAACAAATGAACAAATGTTTTAACAGGGTTTTACAGCTGGTGAAAAGGAGTGAATCTGTAAGATTATAAGATGTAGCAAAGATAGCTAACCCTTGCTAAGCATTGTTAGGGATCTGTTCATCTCATCCTAAAATGGAACTATTGTATCTGCCTTGTAATGATGAGATCTTGGACTAGAGTCACTGAGTTCAAACCCTTGATGTTTCATGTGTCTTCTGAATTTGGCAGATGCTGATCTTGTGATTAGTTTAGGTGTATACCTTTTGCTTGACGGGGGGGGGGGGGGGGGGGGGGGGGGGGGGGGGGGGGGGGGGGGGGGGGGGGGATCTGTAAAAGCTATCCTTTTGTGTGAGTCAGAATAGAAATGTCTGGGCAACCACTAATATCAACATTAGAGAAGATTGTGCGTATTAGGCAGAATCTGAGAGGAAACCAGCAGAGAATTACCACAACTGGCACTAGATAGGAAATACAGGTTTTACGAAGGGGACACAGAAGAAACTCCTAATACGGAGAATAATGAGAGATATTAAAGGTTTCTAGTTTAAATTAAAATGATTGTACAGAATATAGAAATAAATTGTGAGCCATGTGTAACAGTGGTGCGGATGATGATGATGCATGTCAAACGGGCCACTAAAAATTGGTGTGTGGCTGCTTTATCCTATAGGGAAACCTCAACTAACAAAATGCATGTCAAAGGTGACTGGTTTTTCTGCATTTGGATGTCTTGACCGAAAGCGCAGATATCACGGTCTAGCTGTTGACATTGGGTCAACCGCAGCCTCCCTTTTAAGGGCAAATTAATCAGCTCCTAAACTAATTTAATTCAGGTCATGTAATGTTTCGGATAGTTCCGTTAGAAGTGAAATGGCATTTACAAGTGTGATGGTGATTTAAAAAAAAATCCTACCTGTTCACTTCCAGCTGGTTGTTTGCCTTGTCGTGATGAAACTTTTGGACTAGAGTCACTGATATCTGTGATGTTTCATGTGTCTTCTGAACTTGGCAGGCACATTTAGAAGATTTATGACTACCCTTCCTCCCATTGTGGATTCTGTGACCCCTTGGGAAAGGGGGATGAATAAAGCCACTGCTTCCATAGGCTTTGACTAATTACGGGTGTTTCCATCAAAGGCGACAAACCAGCAGTCTGCATGCAAATAAAGTTGAAGTTCTAGAATAGGGCTAAAGTCCAGAAATTGACAGATTGGAACTTTTCATCACTTTACTTCAAGAAAATGTGAAGAAACATTTATTACCTTTACATCTTGCAGGTGTCTAATGATCTTCTTCCATCTGCCAATTCTTATAATATAGGATAGGTTCTCACAAACATGTGTCAAACATTCTTTATTATCTAGTGTGCCTAATGTTCTTCCCAATATATTCACCAATTCACCTCAGTACAAACTTCTATTAACTTGTCCTTGTGGTTTGGCAGCAACTTGATGTAGGTTGTGTGTCAGTGTAAACAAGGGCACAGCAAAAGTTAGGTAGTTGAAGCCTGGGCCTGTTTTATTTGGCCCTGACTTTACCGATCTAACGACACTCTTTTTTGTGGTCAGCTCTCCTTGTGGAAACATTGTTGGTTCTGTTGTGATCTCTGTTTGTATTCTGATGTGGATCTTAAACTGAATTTTGGGTTCGCATATTCACCATTTGTGAATTTGTGGTAAATTTGTTAATCCTTATGAGTGGTACAGTAAATTTAAGCCGCCTAAAAATCCAGCTGAATGAAAAAGGTTCATTAATGAAAGTATACAAATGATTGCAGTTGGATGTATCAGCCTAAGGGTGCAGATATTGCTACATTCTGTAATAATTCTCTGTAATTGAGCAAGTAACATTGAGCAGTGAATCCATTAGATCAGAACTTCCTTAACTGATGGCATACTTTCTAGACATAATAACACATCAAAAGTGATTGAGGCTACTAGCTATCCTGCGGCTAGGCTAACACTTTCTAAGAAATATGGACAACAGTTTAGAAAGCTGTGATAGTGTTGGGGCAGGTCAGAAATTGTTTCTGTAAAAATGTGAAATCTTGTAAAATAGCAACTTCTTTGTTATGTCCTTTTCTAGGGCTTCGGATGTTGAGATGTAAGGTTGTACTTCTGGCTGCTTCGACCACAGACACGTCGTGTTGCTGTAAAGTTTCTCTAAAGTTCTCTTCGTATATTGTTCTTGGATCTCCTCTTGCTGTACGTCCCTATCCTATTTTGGTATATGTTTTGTATGGTATATAATCAGAAGGCATTCTATCCAAGTGGGCAAACCATTTGATTGTATGTAATTTAGAATTGGTTCTGTGTTGAGTTTATCTTGTATGACAATTCCTTGATTTTTTTTTTTCTGTTCTCTCCTACAGTATTTCACCATGGTTACTAATTTTCTCTTATGTTTTGTTGTGTGACCACATCTGGCACTGACAGCATAGAGTGGGAATGAATATGCTCTGTATGAGATGTTTCTATTTGCTGATTAGGGTTTCCTTATACTGTAAAAATGGCAACTGGTGATAGTCAACATGTAATCTGTTGCTATCTCATCTTGGAGCTGAAATACTATGACTGCCTTGTAATGATGAGATCTTGGACTAGAGTCACTGAGTTCAAATCCTTGATGTTTCATGTGTCTTCTGAACTTGGCAGTTGCTAGTCTTGTTGCTTGTAAAGGCTGGCGGTGTCTGTAAAATTATAGTACCTACCACTGCCAAGCATGTCATAAAGTTGCTGGATCTCCTAGCTAACTATGTCAGTCTTGAGCAGAAGGTACATTGTAGCAATGGCTATAGTATATAGCATTTACCTCTTTCAAAGAACAGGATTTTTCACTGTAGCAGAAATCAACAAATCATTAGGTCCTTTGCTGTTGCCTGTAGTTTTTTTTTTAAGGGAAATATAATAGACCAATTAAATTGTTTTGTAAATTGTTTTCACTGCATTGTAATGATGAGACCTTTGGACTAGAGTCACTGAGTTCAAATCTGTGATGTTTCATGTGTCTGCTGAACTTGGCAATTGTTCCTGTTCTGTCAGACTAGTATTGTTGATAAACTGCGTGTTTGTTGCTAGGTCCAAAAGGAAGCAGAGAATAGTGACACTGTAACCATGGATGACCAAAAGGGCTATAAAGGAGGGTTGTCAAATGACAAGCTCACAAACGGCTTGATTACTGAGTCCTTATGTTCCATTGTTTGGAGAGGAAAAACAGAAAATAGTTTTTTTAGCATGCAGTTTTTATTTCAAGTTTGTATGGTTACATCAAGAGGGCTGTAGTTTGTTTATATACACACACATACATATAGCAGACATGTTTATTTAAGCTATTTTTCATGACAAGATTTGGGATTCTCAATGATTCTCCACCAGTAAATGTGATGTCTTTACAACACGACTGACTAGATATCCAACTTTTGCAGGCAATTGTTGCCCGGATTAACTTTTCCTGATAGGAGATTATACCAGCAGCTGCTCCCTAATTAATTGTCCTGTAATGTTGAGACTTTGGTGGACTACTCACTGAGTTTCATTCTGTTAGGTTTCATGTCCTTTTCTCATTGTTAACACTGTCTGGAGCAAGAGAGCTCCTTAGGCTGAGAGAACCTTAAGGCCTTGGAAGCTCTCTCTTTCTCTCTCTCTCTGTCTCTCTCTCTGTCTGTCTCTCTCTCTCTCTCTCTCTCCTTTTATATATGTGTGTGTGTTTTTAAATGACATTTCAACGAAAGATAGAATGACACTAGAAGTTTGTCCCCTTTCTGAGAGTACCGATCAATACATTGTATGTCTCTGTTGTTACTGACTTCTCTGTTGAAGCTGTATTTGTAGTCTCTTCAATACCCTACAGTAGTTTGACTTTAGCTTTGTTCACTTGTTTCAGTAGTTGCCTTGTAATGATGAAACTCTGGACTAGAGTCCCTGAGTTTGAATTGATGATGTTTCATGTGTCTTCTGAACTTGGCAAATACACCAGAAGTAGGTTTTCAAATACTGAGGTATATAAGCAGTTTGTCCAAGCATATACCAGCTGGAGGTATATAATTGATGAATATGTGGTTTCTGATGATCTAAGGCGACCCATATGAAAGTGTTGTTTGACCTAAAATAGGGTCACAACCCACAGGTTGAGAACCGCTGATCTGTTAGCTAAACAATAAAACTTGAGCTGCAGGGTGTGCTGTCTGGCAGCGTCTCTCTGTCAATTACCCCTCATACCATCTCCTCCCCCCCCCCCCCCCCCGGACTTTTGCTGTTGGCCCCTGTGATGTGGCTGTCCAGTTTTGGAAGCCCTGCTGATGTTTCAGCAGACCCTTTGTTGAGACTTGCTAATTGTGTCCTTACAGTCACTGTGAGTTCTGTCCTCTACTCAAGTTAAACTGTTGCTAGTTGTATAAGAATTGCCCCCCTTTGCATGTCCTCAGGGTGGCTATGACCAGTCTGCTGGGCAGCAAGCCTATGCGGGATACGACCAGAGTGCATATGGTGCCGGAGCTGGTGCCACAGGGCAGGGGCAGCAACCTGCTACACAGTATCCAAGCCAAGCCCAGTATGGTAAGTGTATTTTCCTTGTGTTGCCAGCTGTCTGTGTGACTTATCAATTCCTGATTGTACCATAGTCAGTTTGTGACTATCTATTCCTGATTATACCGTTGCCTTGTGTGACTATCTATTCCTGATCGTACCGTTGCCAGTGTGATTGTGAATTCCTAATCGTACTTTTGCCAGTGTAACTGTCAGTTCCTAATCATACCATTGTTTATGTGACTTAGTTCCTGATCGGTAATGGTTTTTTGTGTACCATTTACACCCCTTACTGGTTCGTTCTGAACCTACTTGAATGGTGTTAACACAGCACTAGTGAGGTTGGAGAAAATAAGACAGTTGTATAGTAAGTACTACAGTGGGGTAGGAGAGTGACAATACTATAGTGATTTGGAAGGCAGGCCCTACAGTGGATCAATAGCATAGTATTTACAGGTAGTGGGAAATTGGTATACTTGTGATTAATATAGAAATGCAGCTATTGAGGTGACCCTACACTGAAAAGAGAGTTAGTCATTAAGTGCCATAGTTGGACAGCACTCTGCTGGGACAATACTGTCTTCGTACTGAGTTCTGGGACTGGTGTTGCCTGTTAATGGTTCACTTCAGTTACTAAGGCTATATATTGGTATACTTAGGTGCTGTCTAGCCAAGTAGAGCTGTAGTGAGGCTGCCACACCTAGGGTCAACCAGGAAGTGACAAGTCTGCATCGGATCTGTAAAATAGACATGAGATACAATCAGGTTCTGGTACAGAGCTAAAATGGGTTTAAAAAAAAGGCAGGACTTACACCTGGGAAAGTGGGAAAGTCAGGGTTGATCTGAAGAAAGTGGACAGACATGGCCAGTGTCTAATGTGTGAACCTCGTCTACACACAGGTGGTAGTGGTGGTGGTGGCTCTCAGTACAGTTACGGCCAGCAAGGGGGTTATAGTCAGCCCGGGGGAACTGGTGCCTACGGGCAAGGTGGTAAGTTTGCATGTTTGTGCACAAGTCACACGCACCTATTGGTCGTGATACAGCAAGATAGATAAAACATACCTCTCAGCATTGCTTCATGTGTCAAGGATACCAATAAGCAGTAGGGATATTTATAGTTTGTAAATTTAAGATGCATGCCTTCATTAGCAGAAAAACTGGAAACCCTAGAAATTCAGAATATTGTTAAAGCTTTTAAATAGGTTCTGGATAACTTGGCCACATAAGGTGGGAGGAAGTAGAGCACTTCTACTTGTATATTTAGAGTATAACTGAGCACTAAGACAGGTAGAAGGCTTCAGGTCCAGTCCAGTGCTAGCTGGATGCTGATGGACTTCTATTTGTGTAGGTGATTCAAGAAGTTAATTGATTAGTTGGTCATAGAAGATATTTGATGTGATGTTTTGTTGCCAACCCAGGGGCCTATGACCAGTCAGGACAGCAGGGCGGCCTAGGGAGCACGGGCTACGCTCAAACTGGTTCAGATGCCTACAGCCAGCCTGCAGCCTATGGCTCTCAGCCAAGCACAGGAGGCTATGGTCAGCAGGTGAGGGACTTCTGGTGCTTTTAACTTAGCTAGTGGTTTAGAGAATATATTAATGTGCTTTGGGAAAAACTTTTTTAAAAAGATTTTTGACAAGGCACCGCAAAGCCGACACTGTTTATGTACAGTCCCCCAAGAGTCTAGTTTCTGACTTGGCTATAGTATTTATGAAACATGTGCACATTTAGAATATTTAGATGGGGGTTTGTTTTGAACTGCGACTGATTGACAAGGTCAGTAATGAGTCACTGTAACCATTTATTGAAGCATCATCTTGTGCATGTTCACTGATGGCTGGGGTTTTCTGTACTGAATTTTTAGTTGGTTTCATTAGCTACTTGACAACCTGGTGGCAGATCTCCTTGAGATATTGGTTAAAATAGGGGTAATATTTTATTTGGTGCAACCCTCTCAAAGTTTGTCCCTAATTTTTACAGTCTGACATTTTTTATATGCTGTGTTTATAATGGATGATTTGTTTCTATCAGGGCGGCTATGGCGGAGGTACAGGCGGGAGTGCCTATGGACAGGCTAGCACCGGCAGCAGCTATGGGCAGACTAGTGCTGGTGGTGGCTACGGGCAGAGTGCCGGAGGAGCAGGAGGCTATGGGCAGCAGCCGCCTCCTAGTACAGGCGGTAGTTATGGGCAGAGCACTGGAGGAGCTGGAGGCTATGGTCAGCAGCCACCTAGCACAGGCGGTAGTTATGGGCAGAGCACTGGAGGAACTGGAGGCTATGGTCAGACAAGTTCAGGAGGTACTGGTGGAGGGTACGGACAGACCAGTGCTGGAGGTGGTGGAACTGGAGGCTACGGACAGGCCAGCACAACTGGTAGTGGTAGCAGCAGCAGCTATGGTGGCAGTAGTGGTGGTGGTGGCAGCGGCTTCCAGGGCGGTAACCGTGGTGGCAGCGGAGGACCTGGATCATTTGGTGGCCGTAAGTTATACTTTGCTTAAAGTCCTAAATCTGTAATTTAGAGTGCATGACTGGGCGTGTCTGTCAAGGTTAGCCACCCACAACAAAACTGATAATTTGTGAGGCTCACACAATCTTAAACAAAGCATCATGAAATGATCTGTTAACTTCTGTGGCAGGAAAGTTCTTGTTTTCATCCTCCTACAATCTTGTTCCAGAAAATGTTGACACTCGCAATTGGTTTTATTTGTATGCAAACTTGGGGCAGGTAGATTAGTTCCGAAAAAAACTTCCATAATTCCCTCTTTTTAAACATCCTTGCTGTGGCAGTTTTTAGGGCACCCATACCTGAGGAAGTGCGGAGATGATTTGAGAAGTAAAGATGCCCTGCATAATCCATGGCATGTTTCCAAATCCAACTGGCAATGACCTGTGTGGCCTGCAGTTGTTTTGTATTAGTTATCTAAGCTTGGGCTCTGGTTCGTGGTTGGCCCCTGATTAAACTTAAATAGCCCTGACGTAATCTATCAAGGCTTGGTATATAGAAAACATGCCAACTGTGTGTCTTCTTCTTCTTCACTTCCTCTTTTACCGCTGTGGGTTTCGAGGGAGATATAAGGTTCTGTTTCTAGCTCTTCTGGCTGCCTTGACCATAGGCACATCGTGATGTTGTAGAGTTTCTCTGATGTTATCCTTCCATCTTGTTCTTGGTCTACCCCGTGCTCTACGTTTTTCTTCTCTTTCCATGTATGCTTTGTATGGTATGGTGTCACAAGGCATTCTCTCTGTGGGCAAACTATTTCACTTGGTGTCTTTGTATGTAATCCAGAATTGGTTCTGTGCCGACTTGTTCTCTTATGATCTCATTCCTGATCTTATCTTTTATGGTCATGTGTATGTCTACAAGTTTTATTTTAACCACTCTTTCACTTTAGCTTCACATTTATCGTTGGTCAAATAAAGCGTGCTGTAACAGTTAGTTGTAGGCTTCATTTTAAATTTTATCTGTTTGTAAGCAGATCTTGATGATAGATGTTATGTCATGTATCCCTTGAGTTGATGCCTCATGTGTATCATCAAATTGCTAACTTGTGTCGGGTGCCTGATGTCAGAACATAACTATGTCCCTATCTTGCTTGAAGGTGGGCGTGGAGGTCCTAGTGCTCCCAGTGCTCCCGGAGGCGGCAGTAGCGAACGAGGTGGCAGCAGTTTCGGGTAAGTTGGTGTTTTGTTGTTACTGCTGTAGTTCAGAGCTAAGGTAATTGTAGAGGACAAAAGGGCAGCTCATGTAGACCTGGTGTTGCTGTTTGCGCAAGGGAATTTGTTGCATAATAGATTGCTGAATATCAAGCTTAAGCAAATTATGGTTTTTTCAGATCATGGTTGTGTTGAGCCAAACAGGTAGTGGTGTTGCTAAAACAATAAATAAGGTACATTCTGGGTTGCTAAAATTGAGTTTGTGAAATCAGAGGAAGATAGTGCTGTTACAAATTAAGTACCTGTCAGTTTTAAAATGTGTGAAAATATTTCGAATGTGGTTGAGGCATCAAGGCACTTTAGTATGAGATATTTGATGTGGCTATCGTGTGTTTGTCGCTATTATGTTAGTTGATTTAATTAAAGATAAGTTAGTGGATAATGTGAATTATACAAAGGTACATGCAATAGTTGGTAATTAAGGGGTGGGGGGTGAGTGTTAGTTTAGCTTTTGTATTCTATAATTGTTTAGTGATTGTCTAAATCGTCACATTTGGAAGAACCTGCCTCGGCCAGTGTTCATGTTGTTAATTGCACATTACTCTCGTTCTAAGCAGGTATGGTCATAGTATCCTGAGCTCTTAATTCCTTTGGCAAACTACATACAAGCCTAGATTAATTATTCAATCCCGGGGAAGGCATTCCATTTATGCTAAAGTAATGTAATTTAGAACGTGCAAAGTTGGTCTGAACAAAACAGTCTACCGCTGTGACAAATTTGTATCAAACAGTGATAAGACACGGCAACAATACAGTTGGTTTTTTTTAAATGTGAAGTCGGGTGTATAGTTGGAGAAATGTAGTCGCACACGAGTTCTTTGTCAAACAGATTTGCAGGGTATGTGTTGAGTAGCCACAGCGTGGCTTGCGTTTAACCACACAAAAAACGAACATACAGGTGTATTTGTGATGTGGCTCTGATTGTCATATTTTTGCTGCACATTGTAACCTTTTTAAAACATTTTTTTGGTCATAATAGCAATACTTTATGTAAAGTTTATGTGTGTGTTTACAAGGAAAGTTATCAACTGAATGGGGCCAGCACTGAGAGAAGCTAGATATCCTTTTCTCTGCAGGCACGAAAATGAAACTGCAGGTGTGCCTGTTTAACATTAGGGTCTGATGAGGATACTCCTGTCAGCAGCAGCTTCTTGGCACATCTGAGTTTTATGGTTAAACAGGGCACCACAAATGCCCATTTAGTCTCCTTCCCCCCCCCCCCCCCCCCATCTTTCTTGTGGCATTTGAACAATAAAAGGACTAGGCATGGCAGCCAGCCTTTATTGTGAAGACTACTACACATTTGATTTGAAAAGCTGTGTGTAGCCGGAATGTGAAGCCTCCATATAGGATGCAGGTATATTTGTATGTGATGTTATCATTTAGTACAGTAGATTCCCCTATGTGGGTTTAGAGCCCAGTTTGGGGAAAAAGAATAGACCGATGGTCTCCTGAACAAGCATGTTGCACAAGGCAACTAGAGTGTTGCCTCTGAGGTTGGAGTGCATCTGTCTGAGGTTGGAGTGCATCTGTCTGAGGTGAGCAACCAAATCTACATGCATACAAACCGTTACTTTGAATATGTAACTGCGTTGTGGCCGTCTACAGCATGGCTGCGATATCTGCGCATCTGTCGACCAGGTTAGCCTTCCCGGTGATCAAGACTAAAGTTAAGAGGTGGACGAACAAGAACCTTCTTTAGGAGTAGTGAATGTGAAAAGGCACAATAGACTTAATGTAAGGCTTGTATTAGTTTTTTTCCCGAGTTGAATTTTTTCATTGTTAGCTGATCTGCGTGCAGTAAGTATCTAGTTAGCATAGTCATTAGGTATGGTTATTTTGATTGGTTTGTTTATGGCGCATGTAGATGTTCACACAGATGAGCATGTTTGTTGTGCTATAGTGTGTATTTCAAACATTATATTGCGCTGCTGTTTACTTAGCTACCACATATTGACGACCTAAAGTGTTGGCTTGTTTGAGAGATATATAATATGGTTGCTGAACTTTCTGCTGTTTACTCAGCTATCACATTTTGACGTCCAAAAGTAGTTGCTTGCTTGCGAGATGAGGAATAATATGGTTGCTGAACTTTTGTTAATGCTAAGCTTTATAAACAAATTATTAAGATGTTGAAACTGTAAACTGTCATTTGGTGCAAAGATGATAGATACTGAATAAAATGTAATTAGTATTCACAAACCTCATAGTAAGTTGAGAACAAACCTTCGGTAAGGGGAGTAAACGCACAACGTATGTCAAACCGGTACAGATCATAAATTAGGTCACTGGCAGTGACACACTTGCAACACCCCACAATTATGTGTGGAAAAGTCTGTAATGATTGTTAAGAATCTTGAAAGCGGCAATAACTTAGTTGAGTTTAATTCTAGTAATTCAAGGTTTTCATCAGCCGATGTGGTATACTGACTTGTGGCAGTAATAACTAGATATTTAGGGTGTGGCTGAGTCATATGCTTATGAAATTAGCCCCCATCATTTGTTACTGGAGTTTCCTGTTTCTCACAGCAGAATTTACGAGGTACACTGAAGTTCTGTTATTACAGATGTCATAATTAATAATGGCTTTACTTAAACAGACAGTACATCTCTCTTCAAGACGACGTTTGTTGTATTGTGGTATTGTAGGGTAATTCATCTGTGGAAGTGGTTTAGTGAGAAGCTGCTACACAGCTTCTGATAATATATATTATTATATGGATAAATTAGCTGATATGTTGTGAGCATTGTTACGCCAGATTTGAATTACTTGGTTTTGTGGAGGCTAAATACTTTAAATTAGATTGTTACTGTACTATGTTGTCTTGCCATAATCTGATTTAAATTAATGCAGAGCTGTGGCTAATGTTCATTTGTCGGTGCCTTTGCTATATACAATCTGGATGCTGCCAGTCAACATCGGTCTTGTCCAGCATACAAGGGCCATAGCTGTTTTTTCAGTCCTGGTGTGTGGTTAAAACTGCAATCTTATTTGGATGATAATATTGGTTTTACTAGGCTTTTTTTTTCTCTTGATTTTTGTTAATTGTCTTGCCTGTATTATGACATATCAGAGCCACAAAGCAGTATTTTGGTAATTGAGGTATGCATGACGAAGGTCGAAGTTGAGGGTGAAAAATGAAACAAATGTGAACAGGTAGTCAACTTGCAAACTACCTATTTCTGGATACTTTTTTGTGCTTGTTTTTAAATGGTTTTTGAGGGGTGCCCATGCATCTGAGGTCTCATGGGTATAATATAGTAGAGTGGAGTTAGGGTGTTGGATTTATTGGGTGGCTGGCCAGTCATGACATGACCTGGGCTGGCTGGTTAGTGTTTGAAACCTCCAAGGACCAGGGCTCAGCATACAACAGCCTGCACCAGATCGGCAGTGCTGTGACAGCCTAACTTTCATCTTGATACTTCCTTCCAGCGGCAGCCGAGGTGGCAGTGGTGGATTCAGCAAGTTTCCTGATAGGGGTGGTAAGTGGTGTGGTCCTGCAAGGATCTATCTACATTTTTTATTGTATTGACCAGTGGAGAGTTAACCCTCAGTCTTGTGTTTAGATCTTTATTGTGATGCTGTATGTCTGTGTAAAAGACAGAAGTCGGGTGTCCTGGGTTAAAAGGTGAACCGATTCACAGGTATACTCAGCCCTTTTGTGAATAGGTCTGGTATTTGTGTTACTGATCAAACAATTTGGGTCTGAAGTCATCAGGTAATCATCCAAGGTTTTAGTGAACAGGTCACCTATTGTGTGATGTAACCATTCAAATAAAACATATGAGGTGTGTACTGTGAATGGAATAATCTTCACGTCTGGTGTATTTTTCTGAGAATTCCATGTTTCATACTCAAGAAATAAGGTAGTGTACCATACAGCAATTATGCTTGTAATCTTTGTGTTAAAGCTGGACTTAAAGAACTGAGCTATGCACTCATATTTGAGTGGTCTGCTGCTCACATGTGATGCCTCACTAGTTTGTTGTCAGAGGTTGCAGCCTGCCATATGCAACAGGTGTGTTCCAACATTGACACTAGCATTGTAAACATGTAGGTTACTGGTGCCAAGACAAGCATGAGTAGTGCATACAGTTCAAGGACAGCTTGGAGTACTCTGTTACAATGTGAAAGAGCAGTTGTAATGTCATAAGTATTTGCTACATACACAATGCTATTGTTGAACATCAAGTATAAAGTGGTCGCACAGCAGTTCCCACCTTGTCAGATGACCTGATTCTGTGTACTTTCTTCCTATGGTAGACAGATGTGGGATAGTGTTTTGTGTCTACAGACTGTATTAACCAAACTGTCACGTATGTGCAAAAACTGCATAGTTTGCTGGAGTGTAGAAGTATTAAGTCATTTTTTCACAATCAGTTTTGTTGATGATGCAAAGAGTTACAAACTATTTAGAACTGGTACCAGATTTGATCAGCAGTTTCTGTTGGGTGTGGTAATTTATTACATAAGTTGGTATTGCTTCATTTGTTCAGGTGCTTTAACAGAAAGCGATTCCGTTAAAGCAATTTAGCCACACCCTGAGAATGTACACATGTCTGACTTCTGTGCCTAAACGATAAAGGTTGAAATGTATATGGGTGTTCTAGCATCTACTTCAACATGTCCACTCATTAGGCGGTAGATCTGTGGTGATGCTAAAACTTTTGTGTGCTGTGTGTATTTGTCTTTGGAATGGAAGAGTGAATGTGGATGACTGCACTAATGATAAACAAGCAATTGAAATTAACATTGGTTTTCATCTGTCGTTTCATGCAGCAAGGTATCTTATTTTATTCTTTAACAGCCTGTTTAACCGTAACTGTTGTTGCTTTGATCAGAAGTTGAAAAGGCTGTGTTGATTGGGGTATGGGGGTGGGTTGTTGTGCTCATTGTCAGGTTTTGGCTTTATAACTGACCACCCACCCACCTTTATTTCCCATTTCCATTTTTGTGGCGGTAATTAAGGTTTATATGATCATATATGTAGCTAGCCCATTAATTTCTTGTTTAAAAGAAAAAAAACGCATCCTATTCAGACTGGCAGGAGGTTGAAATCAACATATAGCTCCCTTCTCCCTAATTTCCAGAAATACATATCTGGACCTTATCTTAACCCACAGGAAGCAGAAATACATATGTTGCAGCTTCCTCTTGGATACATGACTCATGGTCTGACTACATTTTTGCCTTGTCTGTCTGATGATTTACCTGATTATATTTGTTTCTTGCTATACATTGCTTCTTCTTGGCATTCACTGGCTGTAAACTCTAGCAAACAGTTGTGGTTGACAGTTTCAAGACTTGTTCAAGAGCGTTTGCATGCACATCTGTTTTACTGTGTTGCTTGCCTTTAAGGCAGATGCACTTGAACTTAAACTATACAGTTACACATCTTTGTCATTAGGGAAAGGGGTGATATTGGCAAAGGCAAGTTTGGACTGTCACCTACTAGTAAGGGATGTGGTAGACATTAGCCATGCTCAGTTTATATACTATTTCTTGTCCGTTTGTTGCCATGTTTTCATTGCTTGACCCATATTTTCCAGGTCGAGGAGGCAGCAGTGATCGGGGCGGAGGCTCCTACGGGGCTGGACGGGAAATGGAGGTGCAGCAAGACACAATCTTTGTCTCCAACATGGGCCAGGATGTCTCTGAAGAGATGCTTATACAGCACTTTGGTAGCATCGGTGTCATCAAGGTAGTGCATTTAGTCTCTCTTTCTCTCTCTCTCTCTCTTTCTCTCTCTCTCTCTCTCTCTCTCTCTCTTTCTCTCTCTCTCTTTCTCTCTCTCTCTCTTTCTCTCTCTCTCTCTTTCTCTCTCTCTCTTTCTCTCTCTCTCTTTCTCTCTCTCTCTTCTCTCTCTCTCTCTCTTTCTCTCTCTCTCTCTTTCTCTCTCTCTCTCTTTCTCTCTCTCTCTTTCTCTCTCTCTCTCTCTCTCTCTCTCTCTCTCTCTCTCTCTCTCTCTCTCTTCTCTCTCTCTCTCTCTTTCTCTCTCTCATCTCTCTCTCTCTCTCTCTCTCTCTCTCTCTCTCTCTCTCTCTGCCTAAGCTATTTTAGCCCATGGAGTTGAGCATTAGGGGTCAAGGGAGTTGTTTACACAAATTCACCACCTACCGGGTCTGTGGATGAATGCATCACAAAATTTGGTTTTAACGGCCGTCGAGGCTCCAGCGCTTCTTGATCTATTGAATAGAGTTAAAATATTCTGGAAATTCACTGGTTTACCTCTTAAACCAGAATTGAGATGCTAAGCAGACTTGGGAATTACGATCTGCACAGCAAAAAAAACACCAGACGCGCCAGAAGACTTGTTAATCAACATAGAACTGGTACTATTAGCCATCAGACGTTGGGGATTATACTGAGGGGAGGATCTGAGAACCTATGGACATGTCCGGCAGGCAATGATGATAACCCAACTAACTGAGATGCTAAACAGCTAAACCACTACAGTAGGGTGGTTTGTAGCACCACTTCATGGCTCAGTATTGTTGACGAACTCAAAACATTATCTTGTTGTAGGAGGCCCACTTGGTCATATGTCCAGCTGAAGTTTATAATGTATATAAAGGAATTGCTTCCTACTGAATATGACATGTTTGTCAAGTGAGAACTGTGAGAGTTACCTGACATGTCCTCCCATCCTGTGTGTGCACAGACTGACAAGAAAACCAACACCCCCAAAGTCTGGATCTACAAGGACAAGAACACCAACCTGCCAAAGGGAGAAGCTACCGTGACCTTTGATGACCCTGACACAGCCAAGGCAGCCATTGACTGGTTTGACGGTAAGTCTGTCTCACAGTCACAATATTATAGTACTGGCAAAGATATTAACGTTTATTGTTGGCTAGAAATAATATAGATATATATAAATATGTGGCACTTTGTTGCCAGTGCTAAATGTGAACATTCACAATAAAAGTGACAAGTGAAATGTCTGCAATGAAATCTAAATGTAACCAGTAGGGACAGGAGTTGCCCTGAGATTTAGACGATTGAAGCAGAGCTGAAGGATACATGCAACATCAGAGGCTGCTCTTCAAAACCTGATGCCGAACAGGGCTTCAGAAAATGAAATGTGTAGCTGGGTCACTAAGCTACTAGAGATAATAGGATGGACATATAACATAGTCTTATGACACGATTTTTTAAATATAACACTTAAAAATTTTGTTGTTACAGTTTTAATGTTTATTGTCAGTGTACTAGCAGGTCAGATATTAGGTCCCATATAGGAGGCACTGGACGTCATTCAGAACACTTGGAACTCAAATGGGCCTACTGGCAAATCCGGACGAAGAATAAAAAGCCTTGGACGACTTAGTCAGAGTTCTCTCCCTTGGCCGCACTCCAAACAGTGAACGGAAAACAAACGACACACTTACCTATCATCCTGCGGTTGCGTGTAGAGCTGCGTACGGTTGCGTGAGGCATCGTGGCATCATCATATGGTTGCGTGCAGGGTTGCGTACGGTTGCGTGAGGCATTGTGAATGGTTGTGTAGTCATCATCATGCGGTTGTTGGATTAGAGTTAGGGGTAGGGTTAGATGTGAAAATTTTGACGTAGGATTTCGAAATACTGGCCGACAATATGATGTTTGTGGGAGTGGCGCCACTGAAACTCTGCCAAATATGACGCCAATAGCGTGCGGCTGGTGCCCCTAATCGTTGGCGAATTGTTCGTTTCACCAGCATCCAGAGGCCCTCGATTGTTTGTGTGTGTGTATGGGACTGTGCGCGATTATAGGAAACTCCGGCGTCAAAATTGTCAAATCTAACGCTAAACCTAACCCTACCGCTAACCCTAATCCTACTCCCTAACCCTAACCCCTAACCACGCAAATTTATCGATCATTAAAGCATACAAATCGGCAAACACCAACAAACAAAACACACCCAAAAAAAACACCCAGAATTGTCCTGCAGCGTAGAAAAAAACCCAGATCTGGGGGAAACAACCAAGCATTGGCAGCCCTGATAACGACGTGACTGTCTTCTTTGTTTCGTTGTGGCTTTTCCGATCACTGTTTGGAGTGCGGCCACGGGAGAGAACTCTAAGTCTCAAAGAGCCCTCAAATGCACATTGATTTGACAAATATGGCTTGTTTGCAGTTGGTTCCTTGCCTCTCGGGCAGATTGTTATGAAAAACTCTTTCTAGTTGCCTCCTATGTTATGCCCGTTAATGGCGCATTAGGTCTATTGAGCAGAGACAGATCATTAATTCAGTACAGCTGGCAGTGGTTCATCTCCTTGTGGGTCAACATTGAATAGCCATGCTATAGATCAGGGCTGTTCATTTGGTGGCCTGCAGGACAAATTTAGCCTCACTGATGCCTAGCAAGTTAACCCCCCCAGTTGTATTGTTAATGATCTTTCTGTAATGGGGCTTTTGGTCGGCAGTAATTAAGAGATAGACATAATTGTGTGTGATACTTTCTGGATAATTGATTAAGTGGCCTTGTTTGTTACAGGAAAAGAATTCAATGGTTCAACTATCAAAGTGGAGCTGGCTCAAAGGGAGAAGAGTGCATTTGTTCGTGGTGGAGGACGTGGAGGTGGCAGCATTGGTGGAGGTGGTCGAGGTAAGCTCTGAGTTTTGATACCTTGCTGTTGGGGGGGGGGGGGCAGTACACGACAGTGTGAGAGTGGGTGGGTGTGTTTTACTGGAAACGCTAGAATATATTCATTCAGACATTGAAGCAGTGTGACTGTGAGCATTGTCATGACAAAGTCCGATAATTGTAGACAGTGGTCAGTACTGATTTTTATCAACAGAACTAGAAAACTGGAGTTGGCAATGTGTGTCTTTGTCGCTTTAGCAGAGACCCAGCAAGTCTGCAGATCATTGCCAGCTGTGTTGATGATTTCTTTCTGCTGGGTCTGTGTGTTCTTATGAAGGTGGTAGACCCTCTGTTCTGCCTGTGGTCTCTAACCTGAAATTTAGTCTTTAATTCACTGGGTGTCTTTCCAGACTGCAGTCTAGAAAAAGGGAGAGAACAGCAATTGTTTAACTATTTAGGTATGTGGTTGGATACTACAGTACTGGACTTTTTACTGAAAAAATAACCCTGGCTTCAAGGTTGAATCCTGGGAAGTAAAGGCAGGTGATGTGATGTTTACATCACTCACTGAGTGCTGATTGGTCGATCCTAGCACACTACATTATCCAGAATTGCCAGCATCTGTGTTTTTGCGGAGACTTTATTTTTGATTTAAAAAAAAATCTTTTTTCCTTTATAGGTGGCGGTTTTGGTGGACGAGGGGGTGGTGATCGTGGAGGCCGGGGTGGTGATCGTGGCGGCGGTGGAAGAGGAGGTAATTATGATTCAGTAGATTGTGGATGTTGACTGAAATTTTGATGTGTGTGTGCAATGTTCTGTGGTTTAATCACTGCCCATAGTTCTGTCTTTACTTGACCACTGTCTTGTGAGGAAAGGGTTGACAAATTTCAACTGTATTGGGCAATAGTTTGTTTAGTCCAGCATCTACAAATAAAAATTATGGGTTGTCTGACACATGTTGAGGACCCTGCTTGCCCCTAGATGCTACAGTAAACCATGTTACGATCACTCCATAGTCTCTTACCATGTGGTGCGCATTACATGAACATTCTTTCCAGTCATCTTATATAGTGGTTGGGTATCTGGAATTAACATCACATTTACCCTGTTATTTTCCCCCTATGTATGACTTGTTTTCCTAAATTGTTTGCTTCAAATTGGTGGTCGCCTTCTACACTGTTTGCACAATTTATTTTTTAATTTTGGCCCAAATAGTGGCATTAGTGTTTTATCTGCCCCAGAACTTATTTTCCTTTATAGTTGTAGATACATATGGTTCAGTGGCAACAGAGATTTGGTTTCCCTTGTAATGAGGACTCGGACCCAGATAGGGGAAGCATATCTTTGATTGCTTGCTCTGTAGCGGCATTATAGTATTTTCTTACATTTTTTTGTTAGATTGTGAATGGCTGGTTTTTCTGTGCACATGTCATTTGAAATTTAACTCTATTATTCCCTAGTGAGTGTTAGATTGAACGTCTTATGTTGGCAAGGGCAGTAGGGAAATGCACAGCTTGGGATTGTGGCGGTAGAGCTGCGTGAGTGTGCCTACTGTGCCCCACAGCTGTGACAGTAACACCATGCCTCGATCCTCCCTGGTTGTCTGGACCCTGGGAGTTTGCACAGTATGGACATGCATTGTTTCTCTCTGTTCTGAGCACATTGTTTATTGGTAGTTCAAAAGATAAGGTTATTTCTTTACTTCTTGTTTCTTGTGTGCCCTTTAGTGGTTCCCTCCCAAAGTATTAGTCACTTGTTTACAAGACAGTGCAATGGAGGAATGTCTGTTGTGGTGAACTACTTATCTCTGACAATTTTTCTTGCTTGAACTCTATCTGGATAGGGAGCATTTCTGATAAGAACCCTTCCTTTCTATGGTCCCAGGTAAGTGAAAAAAAAAAGACACCATCAGGCATATAGGATTTATAGGGCTAGACCTATATTTTTATAGACCAATCGGCACAAGATGGGTGATGTGGTCACCAAGGCTGGGTTGACCTGGGTGCCAAGATTTTTTTAATGGCCCCTGGTGAGGTCGCCTAATCAAGCATGCTCTGTATTGATCACATTCAAGTAACAGTTTCAGGTAGAATGAGTTTAAAGTAACTGCGGTCTGGTGATGGATAGGTTATAATTCCCATTTAGATCTTAGTTTCTCATTAAGTTTCTGCCCATTAAGTGGTCAGCAGAAAACATCAGTGGGGTCTTTTTTGCCCACTGTGAGGTCCGGGTTTATGTGTGCTGTACTATAATCATGTTAAGATCAGTCAAGGGATTCTTGCATTGAGGGTGTGCATTACATGAAAATTATCCGCCTGCATTTCTGCAACTTTTTTCAAAAAAGTCATTTGCTTGCTTGTATTTAATGGCTCTGCTTTTCCATATTACGTTTGGTGCCGTTTAGATGTGCATCTGAGAACATGTGGTGTCTCTTGCCCAGCGCAAGGACCCGGTTTCTCTTTTAGATGCCAAATTAAACCATGTTACGATCACTCCACGGGTTCTTGCCTTGAGGTGCGCATTACATGAACATTACCTACCTGTATATCGGCAGCTTAAAAAAAAACATTTTTAGTTGTTTGCTTCTGGTATTCATTGTTTGTCAATATTTATTCATCTGTTCATAAAAGCACTCTGCTTTTCCACATTTAGATGTGCATCTGAGAACATTATAGGATTTCCAGCCCAGTGCGAAAACCCGGTTTCTCTATTAGATGCCATATTAAACCATGTTACGATCACTCCACGGGTTCTTGCCTTGGGGTGCGCATTACATGAACATTGTCCCCACTTGTTTAGTCAGCTGCCTTAGTGTTAATGTAAGCGTTAACTGTTTATATTATAGTTACCTTCTGTGTTTTAAAGTCGTTTACTTCCGTATACTGTTTATAATTTATAGAATAATCAAAATTGACACCTGCATTATTCATCTGTTATTAAAATAAAGGGCTGTGCTTTTTCCACATAAAGTTTGGTGCCATTTAAAAAAGCATTTGAGAACATTATGAGGTCTTTTGCCCAGCGCAAAGACCTGGTTTCTCTGGATGCTATATTAAACCATGTTACGATCACTCCATGGGTTCTTGCCTTGGGGTGCGCATTACATGAACATTGTCCCAATTGTATTAAATAAAATTCTGTTACTGTGGTAAAATACAAGTGGTGAAATACAAACAGCGGCTTAACACTAACAATGATCAGTGAGAAACACTAACAAGGGTGAAACAGTGTTTTGGCTGTTGGTATCATTTAACGTGCTAGAAATCTGTATTACTGGGGCTGTTGGTATCAATTTAACGTGCTAGAAATCTATATTACTGGGGCTTTTGATATCATTTAACGTGCTAGAAATTTGTATTACTGGGGCTGCCTATATTATTTAATGTCCTAAAAATGTGTATTACTGGGGCTGCCTGTATCATTTAACTTGCTAGAAATCTGCTAGGTACTTAGATGTTACAACGGGTAGACATGTTATTTCATTCTTATCATTTATACCATCTGTGTTGGCAGGGTTCGGTGGAAGTGGAGGCTCAGGACGAGATGGTGACTGGACTTGCGAGTAAGTTTTTTTTCCATCCCCCAAGTCAAATTTTTGTTTTACTGCAGTTAGCACTGAGAAATGGCTTGTTTTTGTCGTCGGGCACAAGCGGGGTCATTTGTCAAATTGTCTTCACACTGCATCATTTCTTCAGATCTGTAAATGATTGAGGACAATATATGTAAATCACCTGAGCCTGATGGGCTATCTTACTTTTTGCATTTGTCAGAACACATTAAAGAAGTCTTGCTTTCTTATGGTCACTTCTACTGTTATTTTACTGCTTTGAAAGTAATGCATAGATTGATTGTGCAATTTGAAGCTGCAAAACCGTCACATCCAGTTGGGGCCATTTTGTATGTAATGACTTGTTTATGGGGACAGTTATTGCTAATGCGCAAATATTCAGGTCATTTTCAGCATTCCTAGCCCTTGAGGTTCATTGCTGCAGATATCGCCTGCCTCCATTTACCTCTCTGGTTCTCTTTCTAGTTAGTGACATTAATTGTTTACAGGTCTGTCTGGACATTATATCTACGTCTTCTTCTTGGTCTGCCTCGTGGTCTACGACCCTTTAGCTTCTTTGTGTATACAGTTTTTACCTCTCTGTTATCTGACATTCTTTCAGTGTGTTCCAGCTAACAGATTTTTGAATTTTGTTGCTGCTTTTCTCTCTCCATTTCACTCGCTGTTTGCAACTTTTATGTGTCCAAACATTTGTTGGAACACTTTGCAGATTTATTCAAGGTACTTTAACTAAAGATCGTCAGATCTCTCCTAACCCCACATATTTAAAAAAAAATGTATTTAAATGTTTTTTTTTGGGGGGGGGGGGGTGTCAAGCAGAACAACAGATATTTCATACATTTACCATAATGGCAACTCAATAGTATACTGTTGTTAACATGTCTTGCTTGCTGTTGCAGTGACTGTGGCAACACCAACTTTTCCTGGAGAGATTCTTGCAACCGCTGCCACTCTTCCAAACCTGGCGGTGATGGTGGTAGTGGAGGTGGTGGTGATGATGAGGGTAAGCCTGTGCTTTCTTTGAGATCTTGTCAGTCGTTTGTTAGTTGGTCACCTGACTTCATTACTGCAGTTTTATCTGTAATTGTCCATTTACTGGCAGTCATTGTCACATGCTTTTATGCTGTTCATGATTATTGTAAAGCTGACAAGTTCTTCTTTGGATTGGCTTTTTCTTCTTCTTAATTTCAACTGTTTAGTGTAACCTCATTCCTTTAACAACCAGATAATTTGTAGCATTTGTTTTGCATCACTGTTAGTGTTGCACCACTGTTAGTGTTTAACAACTGTTAGTGTTTCACCACTGCTTGTGTTTCACCACTGTTTCTCACTGATCATTGTGTTTAACCGCTGTTTGTATTTCACCACCGTCAGTGTTTCTCACTGATTGTTGTTGTGTTGCACCATTGTTTTGTTCTGTCATGCAAAAATTGTCAAGTGAAGGTGAGAAGCTGATTGTTCCTCCGAAAGACCACACAGAACCTATACCCTCTCTTGTAAAACTAATTAGGTCAATGTGCTTAACAGAAGTCTTCTTGGGTGAACGATTTACAGTGTGCAATAATGTGCTTCTCCTAACTATGTTAGATGAATCTAGGACAGGGTTAGCGGCTAGATGCTTGCCAACTAATCTGTAGGTCGTGTGTTCAAAACCAAATGGCGCAGGACTTTTTGGAGAGAGAAAAAAGTGACCTTTGCTTTCAGGTGTACCCAGCCTTAGTGTACCAATGTGATGTTAATGCAGTAAAAGGTCTAGCCCTATATGCCCATTATGTCTGAAGGCAAGTATGTGGGAGATAAGGCCATGGTTTCTTTTTCTGTAGGTCTGGATAAAGATATTGAACAGAATCAAAGATTTTGATGGCTTTGAATAACATTCTGGTTCTTCTTTCAGGTGGTCGAGGAAGAGGTCGTGGAGGATTTGGCCGCGGAGGAGATCGATTTGGAGGTGATTCACGAGGTGGAGGCAGGGGAGGTGGCTTCAGAGACCGAGATGGTGGGGATCGAGGAGGTGATAGAGGTGGTTTCCGAGGTGGACGTGGGGGACCTGGTGGTGGCCGAGGTGGTAGCGGCGGCGGTGGTGGTTTTGACAGGTGAGTTTCGGCTGTTTGTAATTTTTGCTGCAGATTGTGTGTTGTGTAAGTGTCTTGGGTTACTTCAGTGTCATCTGCAATGTTATTCTATGTCATTGTGTATATGGGCTACTTTCAGCTGGCTAGGATACTGCCAACATTCTGTCTGTTATATGCTGTCAAGAGAAGTCTCTGAAACTAAACTGAATAAACAGACCAGAGCATGGCAGTATAAACAGCCCAGAACTGGACATTGAAAACTCAAAGCACAATTACATTGAATAGGGCTTGCTAACTCTGCTGCATGTGGTTGTGACTTTCAAATGGAGAATGATCAGGCTATGGGGCACTGGTGGGAAACTCCAGCACACTGACCTTTGTTGGAATAGTTGCGCAGCAGGCTTTAAAGTTTGTTCAGTTGTACATCTGTATCATCAGTCTTAGTGAATGTGTAGATTTTGCATATATGCCTCCTGTCACCTGATTACAGCAGGATATTCACGGGTGTGTGTGTGCATCTATTTACAATTTGGTTTTTGTGATACCCAGCTTCGAGGATGTAATTCCAAGTAGCTGGTTTATACACTGTAGTCTTTGACTACATTTGCGTTCAACATTACAAGAGCGATTTCACTGAAATCGCTATTTGTCCTACGCATGCTTTCCGTAAATCCCTCATGAGGCACCTTTTTCAATATGCTTGTTGGGTTAGGGGGCATGTGGGTATTCATGAGTTTATGATCTGCTTGTTCTTGTTCTAATTATGTTCTGCAAACCTAATGTTTTTTCCCAATTACCTTTTCTAACTGTACCTATGAGTCAAAAAGAGTTGACAAGTGAAGTACTATGCCCGTATGAAGACATAATTTAATACAATACTAGAGAGGGAGAAAAAAAAATTGGCAATCGGTAGACGTAACAATAGGGAGGATAACAGGAAATAAACAAGCACTTGAAATTTCCAAATGGGCATTGTCTCTTTCTTCAGTAGCCGCATCCACATGCAGATAGTACCAGTTAAAGCCTGGTTAAAAGTTTCCCCCCATGTTGAAAATCTTTCAAACAAAAGACAGTAAAACCAGTATGTCTGACAGTGCGTTGATCCATGTGTTAATTGCTCACTGGCATTAGGAAAAAATGGTCCTGGCAATACGTTATCTTGAGTAAATAACTCAAGCTTGATTGTAGAATTTTTTTTTTGTCGTCTGCAGGGACCGCAATGATAGAAGATCAAGACCTTACTAAACACACTTGGACGGGTCTGCAGCTCGCCACAAAGTTCTCATTTTATCTTGATTTTAATTGCTGTTTGGAAATGAAATAAGACCAGGCTTGAAATTTTTATACAGATTGCTTAAAGGCTGTCTATATTGACTGGACATTAGTGGGCCAGGAAAGGGGGAGGGGGACATGGAGTGTTGGCCTGCCTCAATTTTTACATGAGATCAGTTGTAGCTGGCAGTAGGATGAGGGAGGCTGGATGATTGACATTGACCATGAAATCAGTATCACCTGGTACGGCCTGCCAGTTTTGCACATAATTTTCAGGTTACCTGTATGTATTTTTACGCTCATTTCTGTCATGTTGTCAGGTTTTAATTCATTTTTTTTTTTAAATTTTAATTTGTATGTCATGGGTCCATAAATAAAATGAATGTGTACAAGATTATTTATGAATTTGTTGCTATCTGAAAGTGGATGGATACGTTTTAGACTTGCTTGTGGATGACTGTTTGGTAATCTTGCTAATCTTCAGCTTCATAGCAAACGGGTCACGCCATTGTTGTTCCGCTCCTGTGACAACGAAAAAAACGCAGAATATTTGTGAAAAGATAGACTGACTGCTGTCTCAGCTTATGCATTAGCATACACACGCATTCAAAGCACACAGTAGCCATGAAAAATGCTTAGTTTGACATTAGCAGTTCATCATAGAGGGTAGCAGAAGTTACCAACAGATGAGCAGTTGCACACGCAATCAATATTAATCACATAAGAGCACCACCAATATTACGACGACAGGCACGCGCTCACAACGCCAGGTTGGTCACAGTGGAAAAACATTCCTAGCGAACTCCGCAGCTCACAGGGTCACGCCATGCACTCAGCTAAGTAGCTGGGTGACGAAACGATTTCCTTTGTCTAAAAATGGATCAAAAATACAACGGCCACCGTCTGACAGAAGCAAACAATTTGCATAGCGTCTCAGTGAGGCAGGTAATTCTAGTCTAGTGACTGTTCAAGATTTGCATGTGAAAGGATGTGTCCTAGAGTTGTATTTTTGATGAAATCTGGTATGTCTTCTTCACTTTCGTTTTTTACTGTTTAGGTGTCGGAGATGATCAAAGGTCCCTAATCTTGCTTTCCTGGCTGCCTAGATCTTATGGGCATCTAGCTGTTGGGTTATCTGTCCATTTGTTCTTGGTCTACCTCGTACTTGTGTGAGTTTTGAGACCTAGCTGTTTTCTCGCATCAGGCATATTTAACTCATCTTGCATCTGATTCCCTGAGTGGGACAGGAAACTTATCGGCGAAGTGCAGATCAATTTATTTGGTAACAACATAAACCTTTTAGCAAATTGAAAACATTTTCTTTATATAAAATGCGTGGTTGACATGCATTTGCTTGTCAAAAATCTTAGCGTTGTACATGCCACTGTCGTTTTACGTTTTACTCATCTTTCATTGTGACTTCAACAAGATAAGTCAAAATGGCAGCCACACAAAAAACCTAGAAAATAAACAAAATATCAAATTAACGGAAAGATAGTTGTAGATAGTGGAAGAATGGGTCTCAAGTTTGAATAATGGGGAAAAAGTAAGTGGTATCAAAGAAAAGAATTATTCCTAAATGTGTAATAGAAGTCAATGCTGTTATTCTGGGACTACGGAAATTTAAGTATGGGTACATGGATAACATCAGATGGAAGATGTCTTGCTGAGATAAGAAACAATTCAACAGACAAAAACTGCACTTAATAAATTAACACCTTGTGCAATATATATCTTCGTCGTCTTTGGTTATATATATGTATTTTTTTTTGTTGCTAGCTCCATACGACCAGTTTTAACATATGGCTGCGAATCTGGACAATCGGTAGGCAGGCCGATTTCTTGAGGCCTTCAAGATAAGGTTTTACAGAAGAATGCTTAAAATACCTTGGATAGCCACAAAGAGCAACCAAGAGGTGTTAAAAGAGGCGAGAGCCCGAAGACGACTTATCACATACATCCGAAGGAGGCTGTCATCATTTTTAGGCAATGGTATGAGAAGAGGGGAAAATAAAACTTGTGACCACTAGAAAGATCTGTGGAAGGAGGGAAAAGTCAGGTTTGAACCAACGTCATTGCACGCGGTTATAAACCATAAGTGCTCTGCCACCGGTGCGGATAGCTAAGAAACTGTCTGCCTTGGTACCCATTTCCTAGAGGCTGTGTGAACCCCGGGAACCGACCGGTGTCGAACACCGACCGTGGCTGCAGCGAGCCGCAGCTAAATTTGAAAGCGAGCCACCTATCGACTGCGCTAACGCGGCACTCTGTGGAAGGAGGGTTAGAGGAAGTGGAGTGACGGTCTTGGAGCATGGTATGGAGGTGTTTCTGCACATAAACTGATACATGCTGCAAGAGATCGCAGATTGGGGAGAGGCATGATCGCCCAAGCCAGGCGGCAAGGCACCTCATAATGATCGACAAAATAGTCAAACAGAAATAGAGAGAATGCCTTGCGACACCATACTATACAAAGCATACATGGACAGAGAAGAAGGACGTAGAGCACGAGGTAGACCAAGAACAAAATGGAAGGATAACATCAGAGAAACTCTACAATTGCACGATGTGCCTATGGTCGGGGCGGCCAGAAGAGAACAGAACCTTATATCTCCCTCGACACCCACAGCGGTAAAAGAGGAAGTGAAGAAGAAATAAA